TGGTGTTATTATATCGAGATGTTACTCTATCGAAAAAATAAATACTATGAAAGCTTATTACAGTAATGAGATCGGGGAAAGAGATTTTATGTTATTATAACGAAATGTTATATAAATTAGTTTACAACCAAATTTTTGTGCGAAACTTTTTAGCTTTGATTTTTTGTTCTATTCAAATTCAATATTGTGATAAACAATCTTACTCAGTGATATGATATGCGTTAAACAAGATTTCTACAACGAAAATTTTAGTTAGAATTTCAAATTGGAATTGTGCAGTACATATAATCATTGACAAGACGAGTAAGTTTACTTAATGCACTATTGCTGTGAAAAAACGATCTTTTATCGATGTAACTTTTTGTGCTAATTTAAATAATTGCTATTCACTTTTTGAAAACACTTTTTTGTTCCAATAACACCGCAAATCAAAACTATTTATAATTTCCAAAATGCCTGCAAATAAATCAATTGCTCTTGCAATTCCTTTTGTAGTTGTGCAGAAGATACTTGTAAAACTGGATCAATATTCCATGTTGATTATTTAATATACTGTAATCAATGATGTGACTTGTCATAAGTCATATGGTCATTCTATGATTTTCATAACAAAATATGTGACATAAAGTAATGTCAGCCAATAAAATTAAAGAAAAATATATAAATTTCAAAAGTCATGCTTTTATATACCGATGATCAATTTTTAATGATTTAGAAAATGCAGTGTGCAAATTGTTAAGCGTGCAATCATTTACTACATGTATTAACGTTAAGATGAACTCGGTGTATCCCGACTTGGCCGGTGAAGAAGCAGTTAAGCCATTACAAAAATTATTAGCCCAAAAGTCTTACCCCACTAAAAAAAATCAAAAAACCAAATGAGAAACTTTGAGTTATATTACTAAATATATGAGTGTAGGAATTTTACTCTATCTTCGGTATTATCGCTATATCTAAAAAAATTTTCACTTGCTTTTTTTGGTATATGGGAAAACTAAAAATATTTGTATATTAAACTTGCCAAACTTATTAAATACATGTATAATGTTTCCAAAGAGTGCAAAGAAGTACATGTAATGAACGACTTGATATAAATTATTAAATAGTTAAGTACTAACACTAGTAAATACATGAAATTTACCATTTTCTATTACGTAGCTGATTTATTATTCATGGTGTTAAATGATGAAAAATTATAAATTCTATTAATTTATATCGATATTATTCGATGTGACTAAATCTAAAAATGATTAGCAAGTCCAGGAACTATCCTTTGTAGAAGGAGTTGTTACTTCTTTATACCAGTTGTTGCTACTGCCTAAACAACTACCTACAGTTACCAGATTATATCCATTACCCTTGAGGAGGTCTATTGCAAATGGAACAACTTCTTCTACGGTTGGTTGTTTCACATCGTGATTAAGTGCAAGATGCGGGTTTGGAGAATTAGCATTATCTCGATAAACTTGCTCCGATTGCTCTACAGAATTTCCTGTGGCATCACCAGAATCGATATCCCATTGAATAATATGAGAATATCCCAGTTCGCCAAGAATACCAAGCACCCGGGAATCTGTTGCACCTTCACCGTAGGGCAATCTAAAGTATCTTGGCACAGCACCGATAATTTTGCGAAGAGCAGTTTCAACTGCGGTTATTTGATATCTAATGTCATCATCTGATAGAGATGGTAATGACGGATGTGACCAGGTATGCGAGGCAATTTGATGACCTGCATCATATGCACGTTTAATTACGTCTGCATAATCGTAAATACAGCCCCAATTATTTCCATTCACAAAGAATGTTGCTTTTATTCCATTGTTAGCGAGGGTATCAAGAAGTTCATTCGTGTACTATCATAAAGAATGAGATAATGTCATCTTTTAATGTTTGTTATATCTACCGAATTAATGTTTAATAGATAAATTTTGTGATACTTACAGCATAAGGGCCATCGTCAAAAGTCAATGCAAACGTGTTAGAAGTTGAGCATGAGGTGTAGACTTTGGCAGTTACTGGACCGGAAGTTGCGGTGGATGTAGCGGAAGTTGTGGTTGAAGAAGTAGAAGTTCCCGTCGTCGTAGTGGTCGAACTACCACATTTACCGAATCCAGATTGACAGCCAGATCCACAATAATCTAATGTTAAAGATGAATATTAATACACATTCATTATTTATATTTTTATTAGCTTGATAAAATGCTCTACCAGAAGTGGTGCCACACCAGCCCCATTGAGAGCAACATTGGCCCGAAGCGCATTGTGTATTGAAGTCTTTTCCGCATCTGCTATTTGTTGATGTTGGATAACTGCTACTTGTAGTGGTGGTTGATGTGGTTGATTTCGAAGTTGACGAAGTTGTAGTAGTTGATGTGGTTGAAGTAGTAGTTGACGAAGTTGTAGTAGTTGATGTGGTTGAAGTAGTAGTTTTAGATGTGGTGGTGGTTGTAGAATCGCTGTTGCATTTACCAAATCCGGATTGACATCCAGCCGCACAATAATCTAAATTAAGAATTACGTAATATGGTATACATGTACATATTAATATCGATATTTACTGTATAACGATAATAATAATGCAGTAAGAGTTTCATGATATTCACCTGAAGTTGTACCGCACCAGCTCCATTGTGAGCAACATTGGCCCGAAGGGCATTTCGTTCCATATCCATTTCCACATCTACCGTTGGTTGAAGTTGAAGTTGAGGTTGGTGTTGAAGTACTACTAGTCGAAGTAGTAGTTTTACTAGTCGAAGTAGTAGTTTTACTAGTCGAAGTAGTCGAAGTAGTCGAAGAACATGTGCCGTAACCGGCTTGACATCTAAAAATGTGAAACAGCAAAAGAATCTTTAGAATCTGTAGAATTTTATTATTTATTTAGCATGTAGTGGTGTTAAACTTACCCAGCACCACACCACGCGTCGCCTACTCCACAATAACTTAAATAAAAAAGTAGTTCGCTGTTAGTTTTCATATAATTATACTCATACACGCATTTCAGAATAAGCGTATTTACCCCCATTTCGAGCAGCATTCACCCGCGGAAGCATTACACTCTAAGATGTGCAAAAGATAAATAGATTTTTTAGCATGGGAAATTATATAAAAGCAGGTAGACATGTAGATACATACTGCCGTTTGGGTTTTGAGTCCCGCAATCTTCGGCATTTACCGAGAAAATAAGCAATGCAGATATTGCCAGTAGCAAAAGAGATTTTTTATATTGAGACATGAATTCTCTTTGCGATTGAATTGAATATTAAAAAAGTAAAATTAATCTATTCTATAAGAAAAAATTATTTAACATGAAAACGAGAAAAGTAAAAGTGAAATTAAAAAGTTAAGTCTTGGAGTATGAAACAGGCTACATTTTAAAAGTTTTGAATATTATTACAAAATTTGTATGTGTCCATGATTGTTTCCTTTAGAAACTTCTTTTTTTGTCCATGCATTTCACTATTTTTAATGATGGTAACAATTATGTCTGTAATATATAACGTAGGGATGCAGAATTTAATTGAGCATTGTTACCTTTGCACCGATGGAACCAACTACTGGATTAATTAAAGCAAATGTTTATATTTCCTTTGGGCGTACAAATGATCGTGATAAGATACATAATTCGAATTTCCATAAAAGGTCAATGCATTCTTTTTTTTGGATAATTGTGTTTATTATCCAGCCCTAACATTTTCATTAACCTTATCGTAGATAGATAAAGTATTTGCAATGCAATTATACACATGTGCATAATTATTCTGTATCGGTATGTAGGAGTGCAAGCTGTGGATGGTTATACGTATCAAGATTTTAGTTGGATGGTTTGCTGATAGGTTAGCCGGAATGCTAGGCTGCAAACTACGTAGTAACCTTTCAAAAAAGGTTATAACTCGGTTAATACTATGGTACAAAGAAAAACTCTGCTGCAAGCAGCTGGATTTTTTGACTTTGGTTTTTTTGGGCTCGAGTTATAAGATCTTGAAGTTCAGCCATTTTGTTATAAATTTGTTTCTATATAAAATTATATAGCAACATAACATTTTGAGCCTCAAATTATATTTGATTAAAATGAAAAAATTAAGTTTTTATATTTTATAAAATCACAAATCCAAAATTTGTTTCGTAAATTGCGTATATACTTATTTATTATTAACAGTCAGTCAGTTTATTTATTATATTATATAATAACAATCAAAAATTATACAACTGCAGTATTATTCAATTCATATCAATATAATGTTGTAAGAGAGATAATTAAACTTAAATAAAGAGAATGAATTATAAATATTAGCAAAGATTTTCTAAAACCTGTGCCAATATCTATAGATATTGTATATTCAAAAAAATAATATAAATAAATTATAAATTATAGCTTATATAAAAATTATATATTATTATCAAGCAAAAATATTT